GGGAAAGGGTTTAAGGAATTAAACTATCCACAGATATCTTCTATCTGCTGCCTAACCTCTAGAAATGTAAGGATCATTATCTCCTGTGAAACAGCAAGAAATTGAGGATACACTTTTGATCACTAAAGTTTATGCAAATAACTTTCTATTTTCTTTTTTTTTTTTACCTGTGAATTAAGTTCAGAAGCAGTTGGAGGCCATGACAGGGATGTAAGACTTATCCTGGTCCTTACAGACAGATAGGTGCAGCTTTACGTTAGCTCACTCACTAAAAATGTCTTCACAGAATCACAGAATGTTAGAGATTGGAAGGGACCTCGAAAGATCACCTAGTCCAATCCCCCTGCCGGAGCAGGAACACCTAGATGAGATCACACAGGAAGGCATCCAGGCGGGTCTTGAATGTCTCCAGAGAAGGAGACTCCACAACCTCCCTGGGCAGCCTGTTCCAGTGCTCTGTCACCCTCACTGTAAAGAAGTTTCTTCTCAAGTTTAAGCGGAACCTCCTGTGTTCCAGCTTACAACCATTGCCCCTTGTCCTACCATTGGGCATCACTGAGAAGAGCCTGGCTCCATCATGTTCCAGTCTTGTGGTTTTAACTCCCTAAAATTGTAGTTTTATAAGCTCTGAAGTTACAACCATTCAATTAGTTGGGCAGAAACTTGACCAGAAAGACATACTACCTCTCAAGACTTAAGCTGAAGAAGAAATAAGTTTGTATTCAGTTACTGGCCCCTGTCTCTTGCAAAAAATAACTGTGGACTGCTGCTGCTGAGGTTCATGACAGAGACCTGACATTTGTTCTTAACTAGAGAAAGAACACAAATACTTTCAGCTTTTTGTTTTTAGACCACTTTCTGTTTTCCCAATCTAAACTTAGATTTAATCAAAAAAATCATCAAACTGTGATAAAGCAGAGCAGTCCCTTCCCCTACTTCCAGTCTTAAGCATGGAAAGCATCTGTTATCCCTTGGCCATGGCAAACTTTTTAAAGAGACAACTATCACTCCACTGAAAACCTTGTCATAATAGTAGACTTTCCTGACATTCAGAAGTTACTCAATGGAGGGAAATGGACAGACTTAGTACCTTAACACAGTTTCTATACTCTCATACAATACTTAGATAGCATCTACAACACTGTTGGTGGGATTTGTTGTTGTTTTTAAGTGGAACCTTCTCTGTGGTCCTCAGGTTTATTAGGACACTCAGGTTCTTGCCCTGAACTTAAAACTACCCAAGATGCATTGACCATACAATTATCTGAACTGTCATCTGAACATACATTATTGAAATAAAGCTGATTTCACACATCCAGTACTCAGTACAAAAATCTGCCAGGCCATTCGCTTCCTTTCTCAGAAATGACGAGAATAACAAACAGTGTAACTGGCACATACCTTGAGAAATAAAAGATTTTGTTCTAATGAAAGAACGACCCTTTTTCACAGCTGCTTTTGTCTTTTCGAGCCCGTCTTTGGTACCTTCTCTAGCAGCTCTCATAAGTTTTTGCATCTGTAAGATAAAAAATATAATCTACATGTTTAGTGAATAATAGGAACATGTTTAAGCATACCATGCAGAGTACTTTTGATCAAAATATCTTTAAAAAGAACACTGTCAAGTAGTTTCGGCTATAAATACAGTTGAAAGTCAAAGGAATATATAAAACATACACAGATCCATCAAAGCTCAGATCTGAACAGCTATACTTTCTCTTAATAAAATCAAACCTGGAGGAAGGCACTTACTTCATGGCAATATTGTATGCAAGTCTAAAAATAGCAGAAGTGCTTAAGAACCCTTCTGCATCAAATACCTGAATGCAAAATAGTCTCAAATGCTCAGCTTTAGTTTTATATAACAAATACTGTCAATAGGTCACTAATGACCAGGGTTCTTGTCTATCTCCCAATGGCCCGAAATACCCTGCCGAAGTATTTCTGACCTAATGATAATCTCCTCGACTCAGTTCTATAGTAACTATATTCTTAAATAAACACTGTTTTGCAGAAAATGTTACAACTACTAATTTCATCAGTTGAAGAAGTTGATCTATTTAAGAATTGCATAGTTTTATAGTACACTACCATATAAAAAAGAAATTTCATGCAAAAAAAAAAAAAATAATGAAGTGTTGTTTTTTGATAGGAAATGTGTATTAAAAAACCCCTGCTTTGTACTTTTGCTTTCTTAAAATGCTACCACAACAAGAAATCCCCACTACTGTCAGAGCTGTGCTGACATCATCAGTGACACAAACGAGGTTATCTTGCTGCAATCAGGCAATTTCTCAGTTTGAGCCAAAGCTTTTACCAAAACCCAGCCTTTTCATACTGGCTCCATTCAGAATGGAGAGCACTGAGCTTCTGACTCCCACAATTTGATCCCGCATGGCTAGAGAGCCAGGCTCTGGCTAGGCCAGCAGAGCTGAGAGGCGCCGGGGTTCATGCACCAGGATAACAAGGGAAAATTGCTTTAAGCTGAAAGAGGGCAGGTTTAGATGAGATATTAGGAAGAAGTTCTTCACTGTGAGGGTGGTCAGACACTGGAACAGGTTGTCCAAGGAAGTTGTGGATGCCCCCTCCCTGGAAGTGTTCAAGGCCAGGCTGGATGAGGCTTTGAGCAACCTGGTCTAGTGGAAGGTGTCCCTGCTGATGGCAGGAGGGTTGGAACTAGATGATCTTTAAGGTCCCTTCCAACCCAAACCATTCTATGATTCTATGATAAGGGCACCAGTCAGCAGGGAAGGACAATGCCCTATCTCATGTTCTGAAACTGTTACCATTAAAAATAAGCATGAGAAAAGGTCCTAGACAAAGTGCTTTTAAGACAAACTGTATAATAATCTAGCACAATTAGAACTCATTTCATTCAAATTACTGCCTGCTTTTTTCAAGGTATTACGAAAAGAAAAATACAACATTGTCTGTGTTGGAAAAAGCAATCATTTAAACATAGCTTGTTACAAAAATCAACTACACTACCTTCAGCTCATGTTTTTGCTTTAGCTGCTGAATCTCTACTGCTCCCACAGTGTTTGCCATCAAATCTTTCATCTTTTTCTCATAATGCTCCTTTAAACGCGTTAGGTCATGAGAAAGCTACAGTGTATAAAAAGAACAATCTTTTCAAAAAGCCTGCAGTGCAAATTTCATGCTAAAGTACTCACGTATATCATGCATGTTGCCCAGTCTGCCTACTGATACACAGACAACTGAGGGAAAATTTTCATTTAGGGAAGCTCCAACCCAATGAACAGACCATCACTCCTGCACATCGCTGTACTTTCTGAAACTCAGACGGCATCTTTGTGCTATGCTAGCAACTATGTAAAGAGAGGGACAAAGTCACTTAGTCTAAGCTAATTGTGTATTAATTATGTTATGTACATCTCTTACAAACTGTATGGAAACAACGCATCAACTTTACTCACGACTGTTATTCAGTGGAGCACAAACCCTAGCAAGTATATTTCTGACTATCCTTCAAAACAGTGAACTGGAAGAATTCTCAAAGGCTGAGGAACCTGCAGAGGTTGCTAGCACCTTAGAAGATGGATATGGACAGTGCCAGTGAGTTGGGCAAGGAGACACTAACAGGGGAGGATGCACAGTCTTGTAATTCTCAAGTGCATGGGAATCAGGAAGTGCATGTTTTTCTTCAGCTCTATCATAGCCTCATTGTATGACCATGGATGCAACCATCTTGTACATTAACGTATCCATTTGCAAGGTAAGGAAACTATCCCAGAGAAATGCTCTGGAATACTAATTAACATTTGTTAAACATTTTGAAAAAGACAGATAAAAGAGGTTAAAATGTAAATAGAGAAAAAAGGAAAATATTTGGTGTGCCCTATAATAGAAGGCCAATGGAAATAACCCTCAGTTTGATGTCAACAGGGTTATTTGGCAAGAGATGAAAGGATCAGGAAAGACAAGGCCTACTGAGTTGAAAACAAAAGGACAGGTCTGGCATTTAGCTCCACTAGGCTGGGTCAGGATGCGATTACCTCCAACATGATGATTCTGACATTACAGTTGTATAATTAAGAACAGCATCTGGTTCACAGACTAGAAATATTTAATAGCACAAAATCCTTCCTGTCTTGAAATAAATAAATAAACATTAATAAAAAGTCATAATAAAAAAGGGACTTTGAGAGAAGTCATAACAACACTTACAATAAAAAATTTGACCTCCAACCTTCCCATACTTTTCAAAAGACAGAAAAAATAATAAGCAAAGCAAGTCCCTCAGAGAGTGCAAGGAATAGATACAGAGAACAGACAGAAAGTGGAGTGGTTTCTCAAAATCAAAAAAGTTTCTGTCTTTCTTCATCCTCCACCAAACCTCTTCTCTAGTTTCCTGTCTTCTCCACCTCGCAGTAATCCACCCAGGTACAGCAGCCCCTCTGAATTCTCCAGTCACCAATTAATGTGTGCCTGGGCTCCTTGTCCCCATCCACACAAGGCAATCCTCAAAACCTTTTGTCACAGGCCTGGAAAAGCCAGCCACAGGGCAGAACCCCAGAGCACGCCTCTCCTCGGCCTCTCGCTCAGACACTATGTGCCTGATCCTGGCACCAGCACTCTCAGCCCACTGACAACAGTTTCCTGTGACAGATCAAAGTATACTCATAAGCATTTGAAAAATGGCTTTAATCCTAGCTTTATGCATATATGCAAGAGATTCCTAAGACTATGCTCAAAGCTGAAACTACAGATAACAGGAAAAGATTAAAAAAAAAGAACAAACCAGCAGCCATGTTAAGATTTACACACTCGCATGCAAAGTTATTTCCCAGTCCCTTCCAAAAGTATTAAAAAAAAAAAAAAAAAAAAAAAAAATCAAACTCAAGTTTTCTTCAGTCTAGTTAAAAAACTCCCCATAAAGAAACATATGCAATAGCTTAAACTTTTTCTAGTCAGGACAAAACCAAAACAAAACCAGAAGATGAGTTCTCAGCTTACAAAGTGCTGATTTGGGTGGGTTCAAGTCTCGCAGTCAATTGCTCACTCCCTGATTTCCAAAGGGTGGGCAGCAAGGATGGAAGTAGAGGAGAGCAGATAATGTGTACTGGAGGGAAACACAGACAGTGAGGCTTTTATTCTTATGAAGATAAGAAAACTTCAAAATGAAGATAAGGGTCCCATGGAAGAACACCCTGGCCACTGTCCCTACATCCTCCAGCTGCGGGGTGCTGGGGAGCTAACAGTACACAGCTGCGAGGGGGCTCCTGAGTGTCTATCCCAGCCAGCACACACCTGGGGGGCTGAGGATTTCACAGTGACTCCAGGCACTGAGCCCAGCCCTGCCTGTCCCCACTCTGCCCCACAGCCCTGTCCTCCAAGTTCCCTCCAAGAGCAGGGAACTGGCAGCACGAGGCTGCCCAGGTCCTAGGCAAGACTTCCCTCTCACAGAAAGGGCACAAGGGCAGAAGGAGAGGAGCCGAAGCAGTGAGAGCAGAGGAATCCAAGGGTCCTCCTGATGTGCAATCAGAAAGATGCAGCGAGGGCACATACCCATACTGTCAATGTCTTCCTGCCTCCCGTGGCATGGAGGTAGCCAAACATTCTAGACCAGAGATGTGTCACAGATG